CGAGTTTATCTCCTCGGTCTGTCCTTTAACGACCACCTTGGCTAAAATGCCTGTCTTCAAGGCACCGCCAAATTCTTCGAAGGACATTTCGTCCAGCTCAAAGCATCTACCGCGGGGATAGCCTCGAGGGTGACGTCGCCATCTTTCTCTCCCGTCATACTGTTGACAAGGGCATTATGCTGTGCGATATAGTCTACGTTAGTGCTGACGTCCTACGTCTTGCAGATATCATACGGCTTCGCCGTTTCTTCTCTATAGAGGCTTTACGTCTGATCGAGACCAGCGGAAACACACGCTCGGCGTCGTCCAGTGTCCCCCCTCCTTGTTCCATCGGAGCCTTGATGTTATTTACAACATCCGACGAAGAACTCCTATTTTCGGAGTCTTCGTCCAGTGGATAACGTGCTACTCAACGTGCATCAGAAGGGCCTTGCCCAGGATGCCTCGGACCTTGTCCGACCATGCCACCCTAGGCATGCAGCAACTGCTTTGATACTAGTCAATGCTCAGTGAGTTACGTGCCACTCCATGTTCAGCGCGCGAGCCACGCACGGGAATCTTGTCCAATACACCTTTGGGGTTTGACAACACGGATACTCCGATATCCAGCACATTGACCGTCCCAGTCCAGTGTTCGCGCCAATAGCGCTTCTGCTATCTAACAGAGGTGGGTTCATGACTCACCAAAGCTCCACCAGTAGACGTGCGCGTGGCGCCCAAGGTCTCTGACCTTCCATCAATTATAACTCATGGTATTCCAACCATGCCATAACAAGGAGAAGGTCACACCTTGCATCCAAGTCTAAGACTAAGCAGTGTTACACGCTATCAAGTCAAGAAACTTGACGCCGAGGTCCACAGGGACCCTCGGCACAGTGACAAGTCCCCGTCGATAAGCGAACAGTGATGGTGTCACTTAACCGCGCTTCCAGCGCCTCAGCATACAGCTGACTTCTTTCGATTGTTGAGCGTCGATCATGACTACCCGACGCCCCGTAATCGGTAAGGATTTTGCGACCAGCAAGCCTGGCTTTCACACACGTTTCGTGTTTAAGAAAATTGAGTTCATCGGGGCTAGGCCTGCTGCCCTCTACCTCTTTGAGGCTCAAGAGAACTCAGTTTTCCCCCAGTAGGGCGCCCGCGCCTACTGGGTCACATCGTTTCACCGCGATAAATCAGGCTGGTGAGAAGCGGGTCGTCGATTCGATGAACCCTGGCGTTGTTTGCGCAGGGGCAACCAGTCCGAAGGTGACGGTGTCTCCACCAACAAAACACCGTCGGGTATTTGAACGCTGCCCAGCAGCTCGAAGCTTTCCTTGTCTTTCTCAGCATAGCTGAGATCCATTGGCTCAGGCCCGCACGACGAGCTATGATGGAGTGCACTCCAACCAAGTTGTATCGGCTTCAATTTTAATTCGGCATTCAATGACGCATTCACCGCTTCTTCAAAAGTAGACGGATGCACACGGATGACTTCCATTTTGGCCACGCCAGTGTGGAGGTCCTTCATAAAGACGGTCACTGTGATCGCCTCAGGAAGAGAATCGGCTACCATACCGGCAGTGAGAGCACGCAACCCTTAGACAAAGTCAACCAATTCCTACTTGCCCTGTCGAGCGGCAAGGAAACGCGATCGCACGCGATATGCCAGGTTAGGTGACGAGAACACTCGCCAAAGCTGACGCTTCAGCTCCTTCCAGCAGGGGAACGCAGCTTCCACCCGCGTGAGTGCCCATTTTCGCGCGCGATCCCCGAGCTTGGGGATAGCTAGCGTCACGCGCTGTTGCTCGGTCTGGAGCATGGCGGACGCCTTGGCCATTTCGACTTTTCTAATTCAGCGAAGTATATTCTCTCCATCTTTTATCTGGAAGGTCTTAACATTTACCATGAGTGGCTTGGATCGGGGGGGGGGTTATCCGTCGCTGACCGTGGCGTCATGCTCGCAGTCGTCGCCGACATCTCCTGCTGCAGGTGCTCTAGTAGAGCATTCTCATGGCTAAAAACGCCTTAAGGCGCGCACTGATTGCTTCAGGTCCTTGCGAAACGAGATGTTGCTCGCCCTCAGGGCCAAGCAGAGACATCAGCTTTAAAGCCCGTCCTGCATGCCCTGGGGCATGCATCTGGGGCAAATAGGAGTATTGCTTGATCCTCAAGAGGATCAGTCCTAACGATTCAGGTATCGATTGATTTCGAGTGCCACCACATGCAGCGGGTTGCCGTTGCTCTTTGCTTTAAGGAAGCTTGGTTAAGGTCGTTAGTCTTCGTTTTATATTTAGAACCGGTACGAGTGTAGCGGATCGCTATCCACTTACCTCAAGAGTTAAAACAACCTTAACCGAGGCCAATTAACTCTTCCGCTCAAAAACGTGAGCTGTATATCTCGGTTTTATTTGCGGCAAGCCGCCTATAACCAATTCTCCTATCTATATAGTAGATAAACCTAAGTAATAAATAACTTCTGGCTGTTCCTGTCAGTACTGACTTCTTGTTTAAGTGAAGCCACATTGTTGTGTGGTCACACCATCGCGTGTGATCCATACCATTCCTACCAGGGCACTTAAAGCTCCATTACACAAATCATGTAACCATTCGTATCAAAAGGCCAACATAAGTGCTGCTTCAATCCTTCGAAAGAGCGTTTAAGACTTGTACATTAGCTGAAAGTCAGGGCGCGACATTGTAAAGATTTGCTGTAAACGCATATGTAATCAGAAAGCAGCTCAAAGGGTGCGCAAGATACAGCAACGAAGTATGTTTAAAGAATCTGAGAGTTTTTATGCCTCAGCGGTATTTGGCGAGTGAGCGGTACCTTCAAGTTGTCGGGAAGAAAATGTGCGGCCATCATGATCTCCAATGAAAATACGTTGGAATGGAGGAAGCATATAACTTTCAATGACGTTTGACGATGTAGCAGTCTCAGAGAAGCTGTACGGGTGTTTTGGGGGGTATCACAACCATGAACACAGTGTTGGTCGGCCAATCGTATATCGGAAACCCAGTCCAATATGGTCGAGATGAAAAAGAAAATCCGAAAAATGGATAATACGTCCCTTCGATAAGCTCTTTCACGCATCCAAAGAGATGGGTCGATCAAATATCTGAAAGTCCGAGTTGAGATAGAGGAAGTGGGGGTGGAAAGGACGAATTAGTTATTCGTCGAACGACTTTGTTGTTTGTGCACATGATAGCATGATCGTTAGAAGTCCAAACATGTTAGGCGGTAATCGTCGACTCCGGAGGTAAAGGGCAAAAATGTTTATTTTTATAGTGAGCTGGGAGAGCAAGACGTATCAACTACGAAGCTTCCAATAATAATGGAAGATTCAGATAGGACATCACAATGAGCTGAATCGTTTGAAAGCCGGTAGAGATAGAACCGGAAGATGAAATTTGTTCAATTCAGTGATGGCTTAGGTAGTGATACGCTTTTTGTTAGAGGAGGGCTAGACAGTGGTGACTGAGATCAAATTGTTGTTCCATAGAGGCCAAGTGAGTTTGGATCGAACCGGGTTTGGCATTATGAAGGTGTGGGAATACATTACAACTCTAGATGGATAATGCCAGTCCCCAGCACTGTGACAGGTCATTCCAGCAAGAAGTTCCTGCTAGTTGAGAGAGCGAAATAAATAGAAAATGCAAGCCCACTCCCTGGCTGCAAAGAGTGTCATCAAAAAAAGCCTAAGCGAAGCAAACCATTTGTGGGGTGAAGCTAAGTGTTTTTGACGTTGGCGTACTAGTTGATGAATAAGACTAACTTGAAATAATGGAGCAAAAGAAATAAAATAGGGCAAATACAAACCGCCAGTGGATGAGTCATGGGGTACTACTTAGTAAGAAATAAACTTTTTGTCGGAGCGTCATTAGTCGTTTACGATGGTGTGTTATTTAAAACGTTGCGTATGGGAGTATCGAAGAGTAATAGAGTAGTCTTGGGGACAAAGTGAACACCAAGAAAATGACAAAGGGTCGATGATTATTCAAGTGCAAAGCTCGGGCTTGTAAAGTTTTTGCTTTCCATCTATATACAATGCATAGCCTTGAAGAGCGTAGCATGTGCTGCTTAAGTGAGCGACGGTAAGTTATCTAAAACGCCCGCAGCCATGCCTAGAAGAGTACTGTATTTACCGTTTCTTAATACATGAATCTCACAATTGGGAAGGTGGTCTTGAAGAGACCAGCTTGACACCATGGTCGGTATGGAAATACTATCGTTTTTGTACCGATTTAACAATATTCAGTAACGCTGCAAAAAGCTTGCACTCGACCAAGAGATGCCAATACATAACGAAGATAATTGACCAAACCTGTAACGTCATCAGCAAAACTGATAAAATGGTGTTTGGAGCCTCGAAGATTGATGAAGGATGTCTCATTCTGGGTCCTGAGGCGGCTCAAGAAAAGCACAAAGAAGATTAGTCATCTTGTCGGACGCCAGCACCAAAACTAAAGAAATGAGGTCAAGAACCAGTGGTTGAATTTGGACCAAAGTGTCGGTAAAAAGGTGTGGACACAATGCCGAAAGTTGACTTAAAAATCGTTAATGCACGATATCTACAGCTTGTCATTTAAATGGCTCGGCAGGATAAAAAGAGTTTTTTTACGTAATGTGCTTGCAGATCCAGAAATTTAAAATGCATGTCAAATATCTCGACCAGGAACGAAAATGTAATGATCCGCTCTCAACAAAGTGGGTGACACTTGGTGCAGACGAAACGCTTGCGCCTTGGGGTCAAACGTTGTGTCCTGCTTAAGCAAATATAGTGGGTGGTAATAATTGGGATCCGACCGGGGATCTTTTTTAATTAGACAGAAATGTAGGCGCGGCATTGAAATTTCGTCATACGCCCTTTCCCGAATCGGGCAGCTTAAACCAATTTTACTGCCAAGGCCCATTCGCGAGTATCACGCCAGCAAGCCATCTGGTCCCGGCTTTATATAGTGAGGTATTTTGATGGCATAGTAGAAATCGTTAGTTGTAACGGGGTTACACGTACCCTTTTGTGATAGGGTGGGTAACACAAGATGGTGTGACAGTACGTAGGTATATATTACATAAGTTGGTGTAATCACACAATGGTGTGGCGACTCCGTAAGAAGAAGCCACTACGTGGCAGGACTGCCTGTGTAATGCATATTAGTCAGGTTTTACTATATCAACTAGGTACTACTATACTAATTAGTAAAACCTAATGATTTAGATATTAGCGGCTCTGTCACAACTGAAACATCCAGATAGAGTTTCAACTTTTGAACAGAAAAGCGTCTTTCCTTGGCTAAGGATTTAAGTACTCTTGGAGGGAGCGGATTGCGATCCGCTACACTCGTATTGGTACTTATAAATAACGTAAGGTCGGTGACCTTAGCTTAGCTTTTTCTAAGCAAAGGGCTACGGCAGCCCCGCTGCATTAGCCGTATGAGGTGTGACAAGTATAGCAGTGTGGGTTGCGTCCAGCCTCCGGGAAAGGTGCTGAAGAATGTCACAGAGTTGATCGGCGTGATAACCTTGATATTCGGCTGCCAGGTCTCAGGAGTTAGATTGAAATGTTGTTCCACAGTAAGACCGATGGGTGTTTAGTTTGGTCGGAAGTTCCCTGATAATACCTCAAGTGTGCCAACCAAGGAAATGTTCAACTGCAAAGGTGATGCAGCAGGGGCACGAAAGAAATGTTTAAGAGATTGTTCGGCGTGATGTATAACTGCGTCAAATTTTGATAACGAATTCCGTTTATAGATTTGTCACACTTCTTCAAAGTGACGTTGATGAATTGCACAGGGATGAATAGCAAGTGATTGTTCCGATTGGCATATGTCTATGAGAAGCTGCGAAGTTGGTTTGTGGTCAATTGTTTGCGGTGAAGATATTAGCGTCCCATGAGTGATGAAGTAGCTGTTAGACTCGAGAGATTGTGGAGTTCATATCGTGGTCTCGTCTAGTGCAAAGTCCGGTAGCGTGATAACAGATCTTAGAAGTGAGACTGGCGAGGCTTAATTTGCCCGTTCATATTCAGTGAACCACCTTATCCGCTAATAGCGGAATTGTCAACTTGACAAGACAACGTGAGACCTCTCCAATGAATACGAAAGCCTTGAGTAAATCGTGATAAACGGTAGGAGCTATGACGTGAAAATTTTCATCCCACGTTGACATCACTAATTAATTTTTCGTTTTTGAGGGATCCCGTGAGTGTTTTTGTTCAGCAAAGTCTGTCGTGTTCCCATTGTGTGTAGGAGGCTCATCACTAATTAATTTTTCGTTTTTGAGAAATCCAGTGAGTGTTTTAGGAGTTTGTTCTGCTAAGTCTGTCGTGTTCCTGTTGTGTGTAGGAGGATCGGTCGCGTGATGACAGGCCATGACGTACGAAAGTTGACAGTACACATTTGGGAGGCGCATTGCGAGCTGCAAACCAATCAAAAACTATGAGCTCGGTGACTCCAGCGGGAAGATGAGCCAGATCTAAATAAAAACGAGAGCCAAACGTTGCGAACTTGATTGGTCGAGCCAAACGCGGAATAAGTGACTTGACTTAGTTCCGTTGCCTTGTCATGTGAGGCACTAGTGAAACGTACATCCGCGCTGGGTAAGTAGAAGAGCCTGGCGCGCGTCTTTCAATACTTGAGGTTGCGAGTCTGTTGCAACCTCGCTCAACAAATTTGCCGGATGTCTCTTACAGATTACGGTAATGCAGGGGTCCACATTATATAGATTTCTGTAGGTGCCGCGGGGTTGGAAGTCAGTTCTAGCGCGTAAGTGCGTAAAGCATCGAGATACGATAACGCTAAGTCAGCTTCGCTTGCAGCAAGCAGTGAGTCTGTTGGCACTTGGCGCGGGTAAAGCATTCTTCCGGGGGTCGGTACCTTAGGCATCTTGTAGTATACATGTTTTTGATTTTTTGTCGTGATAAAAGTAAGATGAAATTTAATCTCAATCAACAACTGCGCGGGTGGCTGTCTACGGTCATGGTGAAAGCTTAAACTTTGATAGATTTACGAAACAAAGATAAGAGAGTCTCAAATTGAAAGCCTGCGCAACGCAAAGAGTTCCTCAATTCACGGCGTAGTGTAGCTGCTGTGGCTCGCCGAAGAATCTAAAAATCGTGAACCCCTTTCTAATGATTCTTTCGTCCTCTCACTTGGATGCAGTCCGAAAAATATATCAGGAAACGATTAGAAAATCTGGGTAGAGGCGCGACATAGGGTAGGGCAAACGCAAGAGGGAAAGCCAATCGAAATTGGGCGCAATGCGCAGTGCGTTGGGCTGTTATTACCGCGAACTTGAAGCAGGGAGGCAAGAACTCAAGGGTCTTGGCGTGAGGCAGCGACGAGTAAGAAAATGAACTCGAAGTAGCCGAACTCAAGACTGATGTGGATACGGCGAACAAACAGGGCTTGAACGCGGTCGCAAGGGTGGCCTTTTCTTGTGCACTTGCACAGAAGAAGGCAAATTGAGTACTGGTAGGTATGCTGGTACAATTAGCGGCCGAGACGAGGATTAGCCAAATATTAGGTCAAAGATGAAGCACAGCTTTGAGCAGAAAATTTCCTATGTAAGAAATGTTCCAAATAAATTACAAATGACCGCGTAACAATAATCAATACTAAGGTTTTAATTCTAGTTTTAGGACTCCTAAATGCTAAACTTTGCCTGCTTGCCGTCACGAAAGTGTTCGAAGAAGGCCAGCATCTGGTCATCGATCTGCGGTGTCACAATTGACAAAGCATGAACAAAGTGCCTTTTTGCAACATGAACGGCGGCATGGTCTTCCTCAATTGCTTTAAAAGCAGCTTCTCGACACAAAGCTTGAAGTTCTGCACCAGAAAACCGGGCAGTGGCAATTGCCAACTCTTTCAGGCTCACGTCTAATGCTAGTGGTATTTTACGAGTGTGGATCTCAAGGATTTGCTCGCGAGCTGAAATGTCAGGTGGAGACACGTACAATGCACGATCAATACGTCCTGGTCGCATTAAAGCCGGATCCAATAAATCGGGGCGATTTGTTGCGGCTACCACCAAAACGCGCTTTAATGGCTCTAAACCGTCCAGTTCCGTTAGTAATTGACTCAAGACACGGTCCGATGCACCGCTGCTGCCATTTGCTCCACGTGTACTAGCAAGTGCATCAATTTCATCAAAGAAGACCACAGTTGGTGAAGCTGCGCGAGCTTTACGGAAAACGTCACGCACTTGTTGTTCGGATTCGCCGACCCACTTGCTAAAAAGTTCCGGGCCTTTGATAGCAATAAAGTTCATGCTACTCTCTGTCGCTAACGCCTTCGCTGCCAAGGTTTTACTGCAGCCAGGTGGACCATATAATAGCACTCCTTTCGGAGGTCGAATACCCATACGTGTGAAAGCCTCTGGATGCTGAAGCGGCCACTCCACCGCCTCACGTAGAGCTTGCTTAAGTGTGCTTTGCCCACCAATATCGCTCCATAAAACGCGAGGAACTTCGACAGAAATTTCACGTAAAGCACTAGGTCGAATGCTTCGCATAGCTACTTTCAAATCACTGAATGTCACTTCGAAGCTTGGGAAAGACCAATCCTCTGACAAAACAGCTTCAGTTGATATTGCAGCACTCGCAAATGCACGATGGAGCGCAAAAAGTGCTGCCTCCTTGCAAAGAGCGCTAAGATCAGCCCCAACGTATCCATGAGCACTTGAGCTCAACTCTTGCAGCTCTGAGTTTGTAAGTTTATGGGGTAACTTTCTTAGAGCCACACGTAAAATCTCCAAGCGATCGTTAGCTTTCGGAATGCCAATCTCGACTTCTCTATCAAATCTTCCAGGTCGTCTGACGGCAGGGTCAAGAGCATTGGGTCTATTTGTAGCAGCCAAAACCACAACCTGGCGTGATCCGCTTAATCCGTCCATTAAAGTGAGTAACGTTGCCACTAGTCGACGCTCCATATCACCCACGCGTGAATCACGTTTCGGACAAATGGCGTCTACTTCATCGATAAACACAAGTGACGGCGCCTCTCTAGTGGCTTGTGCAAACACGGCCCTTAAATTTGCCTCGCTCTCACCGACAAACTTACTGACAACTTCTGGCCCATTTATCGTGAATACTCGTGCATTTAATTGTTTTGCCAAGACCCTTGCAATTAAAGTTTTGCCCGTTCCAGGCGGTCCGTACAGTAAAACTCCTTTTGGAGTAGGCATGCCATATCTTTCAAAAATCTCTGGATTTTTCAGCGGTTGCTCGATGACTTCACGAATAAGTTTCAGTTCTTCTTTTAATCCGCCAATGTCTGCAAATCCGTCGTGTGTATTCTTCGTAGAACTTGTAAGACTTTCTCTAGTTAATACCGCTTGTTTTTCGTCCCACATCACTGTCAGCGCTGTCTTGGAAGCAGCAATCTTGACAATTCTTTCATTGTGTTCCGTCTCTCCATCCACTTTTTGAATTCGAAAAACAGTGTTTACACCATGAATAGGCAATGAAATAAGCGCATCTTGATGTACTAGCGCCCCATCAATCATGGCTACGATGCAGTGCGTCAGCAGCGTACGTTCCTTGTCCGACAGCTTTTGCTTGTGGCTCGACCCTCGGGACACCAACTGCAGTTCCACACTCTTGGCTACAGTACTACGAGCTAGATATAGTTGTACATTCACTGTTTTAGCTTGTCGCTCGCCTATTGTTGCCTCCCACATAAAATCCAGACCGACACCTCGACGCTTGATTTTATCCATTGGCCATGCCATGCCGCACATTAAAAGTTTAGAAGATTCGTTTTCAGTACAAGCGTGAAGCACCACGTAGACGCCAGATTCGAAATTATAGCATTTCATGTCACGAGGATTTAAATATACTTTTGATACCGTACGGGCCGATCGAGCGCCGGCGCGTACAAATTGCACTTGCCCTTCCATTCTTTCCAATGATTGAAATGGAGACATAAATAATGCTTGTCATGAAGGAATTACACGGATATTTTACTTAACATATACATAGAAATTGTATGCTCAACAGATAAAAAGAATTTATTTTACTTGATATGTCACTTCAAAAAATAGAAAACACTAGCTTGGAGAAAGAGTTCGTGAGTGATCCCTGACCAATCGGTGAGAAATTGAAAGCACGTTTGAAGAACTTGCCAAAGTCGATTCTTGCCTTTTATTGGTTGGACGTATCGAGAATTCTCACAGTTGCAGCTTCCTTCGGCTGCAGAGGTCAAAATAGTAATGTCGACGTCTTGAGTCCTCAATGTATCTGACGGATATTTGAGATGATCCGACACGAACAAAAGCTCGTTAGATAATTTTTGGTCTTCAATATTCTGATTGAAATGGTGATGAACGTTTTGAGTTTCTTCAAACACTTTGTTTTCAATGGTGTTGTCTGCCTTTGCGGTTCCGTTTCTGCTACTGTTAATGGTTGACGCAGGACTTGAACACTCATAATCTGCTTGTGGTCTTCCACCTGTCCTTAGGAGGTCACAAGTGGCAAGAGGTTTACGTCCAGACTCCAACGCTGCTTTCACAAGACTTGTCCATTGTTGATACACCTGAGCATCAGGTGCTCGGAACCAAATTTGCTTTGTGTGCCAGCCATACTTCAGTGTAAATTCTAGTCTGCATGTCATCTGCTTAGTCACTGGCAATAATCTAACAGGATGGATGCATGGATCGAGAGGAATGCGAATCTCGCCGCCAAGAATCTTTGACCGTCGTATCAGCAACACTGGCAGAGCTTGGCGATAGTCTAGGCGATGGTACGTCAACTGAACCGGTGTCTTCGACCTATACAATATGAGGGTGTAAGAGGGCTATAAAAAGTGAAGAAATTATACGAACCAGAGAAGACGACACTTTCGCACTTGTAATGTGCCTGAGAAAACGGGAGGTTGTGTGTCCATTAAAGCAAGAGAAACAATTGCTTGAAAAAAGCGAGAACTGGTCTTGCTTACAAAACATTTAATTCTGTGATCGCATCGAGTCTTTGAAATAAATCGCGAATCCGTGGATCGATAAATCCTGTACTTCTGTTTTTTATGACAGAAAAGAAGAATCAACCTCGGCTACCCTGATGCTGGAGATGAGCTAGTTTGTCCATCTTTGCCATTGATAAAACAGCTTCTTTTTTTTCAAAGCACAATGTCGTTAAAAACATTGCAATAATTTAATTATTGTAAGGTGCGTTTTTTTTACATGTAGACTTAACAGCGCGTTAGTCATACAAGACCAAAGACAATAATTTTAATGGACAGCCTTAGGTTTTACCACACACAGTTAGTACCTAACATATAAAATCTGTCGTATTTTTGCTCTGATACAATGCACATTAACAAGGCAAGTATAACGAATAGCTTACTTAAGTTTTTTAGGACTTGGAAATCTTCGCTTTTATATCAAGGAAAACAATTACTTTCCAGAAAAAGTTCCAGTAAATCTCGGGGCAACTCTCAGACCACACGATACTCACGCCGTAGAACTTGGTATTAGTGCAGGGCTTTCTCAGGTCGTCATGATGCTTCGTCTGACTAGACTTCAGATGTCACCATACAGGCAAACCTCTTGGCAATCCAACCGTTGCATTTTTAAGTGGTACTTCCCTTAAGAACACGAACAGCTCCGGCATTTTCGAATTCTCTCTTAAGATGGCTCAACACAAGCAAAGACAAGGTACAAGTCGCTCTCGCGTTTCACAGCGCTCACTGCATCGTTTAGGGGTAGCCACGCTCTCTATGTCGCTCCGCAGTCGTCGGGCAGAACTCCCTGTAGTTGATTTAGGGCTGCCTCAACTGGATCATTATCACGATCAAGCTGAGAAAGCGTTATCCGAAACCATCGCAGCCTATCAAATGCAACAACAACATATTAATCAGGCAAAATGGAAATGCCTTCGGTCACGATCTGGTGTCCAATTATTTCGAGATCGTCAGCTCACACGTACAAGGCAAGTTCCTGTACTTTGTGTTGGAATTCTGCGTGGCAGTTTCGACGATATCATGGAGGGAATCTATTGTCAAAATACAGAGGAAATGCTCTTGATGAATGCCATCAAATGTCCAAAATTAGCAGAAAGCGCAGTGCTTTACAATGTTCAACGGCAAACAATGTGTGAATCTTACGCTTTTACTGGCATCAAGTGGACGACCATTAAATTGTCCGTAGCAAGTAATCGAGATTTTTGCTACTTTGACAAGATGGGAATGGTGCGTCATACATCAGGAAACCGGATGGCATACCATGTCATGCAGTCAGTGGATATACCAGAGTATCCAGAAAAAGCCACGCATAAACGTTTGCAAGCGTCATTGTGCTACGTTTTCGAGGAACTCGAGAATGATTTGGTTAGTGTCTACATGCAGGGCAAGATAGACAATGCTGCACTATCATACTTTGCAATGCCAGCAGTCTTAGATTTGCTGATGGAGATTACAAATGCGATGGAGTGCACTCGAGCCAAAAAACTGGCAGAAATGATGGCTGTCGCACCTCCTGGACACTGGAAACGACGATCTACTCGCAAATGTTGCGACGTATGTCGAAATAGTCCACTGTTCTTTGAAAGTCTACAAAAGTGTGCAGGCTGTCACTTTCAATATGTTTGCAAGAAATGTCGACTGAAAGAGAATGTTCTCGCACGAGACACAACATCAAGCTCACACTTAATGCGAGCTGAATTTTGTCGCGTATGCATTGCACAAATGGATGCAACGTCTATCGAGGAATTACGAGCGAAATCTGGAGCTTTTAGTGTAGCTGGACAGCGCATGGCAGACAAGAATGCCGCTTTTTGCAAAGTCGATGACGCCGAAGAAGTGGATATACCAGGCAGCGATCGTTCTTTAACGGCTTTTACTTTAAAAATCACAGCGCAGATGCAAGACGTTAGTAGACGCAGCGACATCTGCGCTTCATTGGAGAAAGTATCAATTTCTGACGAAGAAGATGAGATACTGGGTGAGGATCGAGACGTGCTTAACTCAATTGGAAAGAAATGCAGTCGATACGTGTCACTTGACAAGGAACCCACCGATGCGTCAAGATGCAGTTCACGTTCGACTACGTCAACTGCATCTTCCTCGCTTTACCATGACGATATTGAGTCGGAACAGTATCGGACTTCAATTTTTACACGGCTATTACAAATGTCGAATCAAGTAGAAGCAACGTTTCATCTCACGCAAGAGCAGTCGCTTTTAGCACACACAGTCTTTAAGCGCACCCGTCGATGCACTCGTGACTTTCGATAGTTTGCTTTAATCAATCAATAACGAAATTGAAAGGATTTGATCGTAATCTTTTCTTTCTCCATCACACTGAATCATGTTACTTTAAACTTTATATTGTTTAAAATATCAACTGGTACTAGGTTTGTTGCCTTCCTCGAAAGTAGCTACCGGAGACCCCCCAGCCTGCGACCTCGAGTCTGTCGGGAATTAGGGCCACACTTACCACGAAGGTGCGAAAAAGCCTGAGAAAGTTGATGGTCGTGAAACTTTGTGATGCTAATTCCGTCACGCAGACGCCAGCAGAGACAAGGAAAGCCATCAGCGGCCGCGACATCCCTGAGTTCAATTCCGCACCTCCGGCAAAGAAAAGAAAGCGACGTGACAAAATGCCACGTATCTGGCTTCGTCTTGAACTGTTTGAACTTGGGATTGTGCCGATACCGTCCAAATACGCGGCCTCGTTGACGCTTAACAATGTCAAAAAGGCTCTTAACGTGCTGCATAACAAGCTTCAGGCAGCTAATCGAGATCCTGCGGACGTGGCATCTATAGATGATGCTGTTATGCTCGATGTAGAAGGATGTTTCACAGAGAGTGACAACTTTAGCTATATCACGTTTGCGGTGTGGAAAGATGCGGTGGAGAACGTATTTCAGTGGAGAGAGCAGGATTACAAAGCCTTTTGGCTGCTTTTGGTACAATTTCATCGTATGATTCACGTAAAGAAAGAGGTGATTGATGCTACGGTACCACTAGATAGTGAACAGTGTTTTGAGCGAGAAGAGGTACCTGTGTACAAGGTAGCCATCTTTCTTTTTATACAGACAGTCAAGCCGCATTCGTGGAGGACAAAGTACTCGTTGGATTCATTTAATGCAGTGTGGTATCGCGGACATGCCGAGAGTTTAGCAGCAGCTGCGGCATTGGAAGCAGCGGGCGCTGTGGCTGCAGCGACAGCTACAAAGTCACCGATTCTAAGCGCTAATGGATCTCCATCAATTCGAGGCTGCACCAGTCCACCACCTCCACAATCCCCACACACGGTGGGTATGGCAGACCGTTCGACTGCCGATTCATATTATCTATCTTTTGTGCGTGAGAAGCTGGAAGATTTATTTGGACTGCTTTATCCATCGGTTGACCTTAAAGATGAGTCTCCGACAGTCATGAGTGCAGATCAAATTGATCTTCTGGGTTTTTTACTATGTTTGGGAGATGTCAGTCTTGTCGACAAAAATCTCAAGCTGAGTTCGTGTTATCCGATGTGGGAACAGTCATGTAGGGCCGATGTTACGGCTGATACAGCTCACGAATATCCACCACAAGTGGAAAATGGAGCTAAATTGTGCCGATTTTACAAAACTCACTTGTCGCTAAACGAGAAATTGTATCCGCCTGTAGGGTTCTCAAAACCTTATCCCTCAGCAGCTCAAACTAATGTTTCAGCACATTCACCCCCTGCTTTTTCACTAAATGGTTAGGCACTTCTATTTTTGAGCTCACCATTAAATTGTACTGATGAATGTTTTTCTTTGCTTGAAGATGACTTCTCACTGGATGGAAGTGCTGAGGGACCTGCTCCAGATGAAGGGACAACGGGTCGGTCTATTGTTTTGTCACAACTCATTAAAGCTACTGTGATCAAGCGTGCCGAAGAGTTCGCGGTTTTCGAAGACAGTGGTCAGCGACCGGATGTCATGATATTTTCCTGTCAAGACTCTTATATTTACCTACTGGGACTTATTCGATATCCTTTCAATCTTTTGTACTCATTACTCGCTAACTTCTACGGTGACTAAGTTCAAAGTGATCCTTAACTTTTGTGCTTGTTTGATTTACACAAATGTGACGATTTCAGCTTGCAAGAACTGCCGAATAATTACAGCACCGAACACAGGAATCCTAACGATGGAGCGATGTGAAAATGTGCAGGTTACTTCACTTTCTGGTCTAATTCGCATCAGGTAGGAAAGTGTTACCTCTCCATTCAAAGCGTATTGAGCAGCCTGATATGGTTAAAGTGATGTGTTACCTGTGTGATTTTATTGTAAAGCAATTGCTTGGACGCCCGACTTAATGTATACACGCTGCTTCCGATGATTGTCAGTGGCGAAAATGTTGGCGTGGTTCTAGGACCGTACAATACAAAGTTTTCTGGCTTAAAACAGCAGCTTTCTACAGCTCCATTTTTGTTTCATGCGGAGTCACAAGGCAGCTGGAACAATTTTCTGGACCTGGATAGCGACAAGGGTACAAAATTTGAAACATGCTTTTTATCCAGCATTTTGGTACTTAGGCTCATTTTGTTTCTCGGCATGGTAGACAGTATGTCGGACACAGACGCAGCTCCTGTTTCTCTTCAGGTGCCCGAGACCTTTCGCGAAGTGTGCGTTCCTGTAAAGTTTGCAGTAGGTGCGGGCTCTGCCGAACGACCATTTCCGATTCCCTCCGAGTATGCTGCCACAGTGAAAAAGCACCATGAGACGGTGGAGTCTTTGCGTCAGTTAGTGACTAGCGATGAGTTCGATCTGACAAAAAAGCGTACGATGGAGATGGTGATCCAGCTCAAGTTCAAGGACTGGCTGTCATCTTCGGGTAATGTTCGACAAGTTTTGGATTTAGTGCATCTCGACCGCATCGCTAATGATCCTGCAAGCAAATAAATGCAGCTTTATGGAAACGAGTAAAAATAATAACGCGATTGCGTGATACTGATGTTTATACTTCAGCTTCGAGATTTTCTCGTTGTCGCTCATATGTCGTTGTATTGTTCTCTTTCAACCTGGTTTTTGGAACTCAGAAAAATATAAATTAGTCTCCTATTGTTAACATGTGAAAAATTTTCGTGTGTTTCAGCTGCTGTTCAAATGCAATATTTCACAATAAACTACAAAGTTTTTCACTTTCACTCCATCACCATCAAGATCAAATTTCAATTCGTGTTGTTTCCAGGGACTTGTAAATTTTTAAAGTAGGACAACATTTCAAGTGCGACAAAATGATAAGCGGAGCACTTACTTATTATGATATTAAACATATTTAAACTAACTTTAAATGACTGTCATATTATCCAATATTAAGAAAGCAATGGTTTCACCTCCATTTAAAAGACATGGCCGTTTGCTGATGAGGAACTTTCACTCTTTTACACGCGGCAACTTACTTGTATTTTTACAAGCTTACTTAAATGCTGGCACATTCATGCGAAGAAACATCCCCTATACAAGATCGACCCAATTCATGCAAATCATCTGGTCTTTATCACTCCTAGCTGAGTCTCTAGTTCTCAATTTGCTTTCTTCTACACAAGTGTTCAGAAAAGAGCCATTCTTGCGACAGTGTTCAGACCAGTCTGTACATCGTCCACAAACGCACCCACAGTCAGTCTTCGCCTTCCGCCACTTCGACTCGTTCGTCGTGCCGACCTCGCCTCGATTCCTCAGCTCTACCCTTGCGATTTTTGCTGTTTAACTTGCGCTCTGCACGCTGTGCTTCAGCCCCCCCTCGCTACTACTCTACTGAGGAAATCGCGCCTTTTTCCTGGACTATTACCCCCGTATCCTGATATCTAAGTGCATATAGCATTCAGATTGAGAGGACTTAAGAACTACATCTCAAGGGGTTTACGGGCTTAATTATCTAGAATTAGGACTGCAGCCGCGATACGTCGTGTATTAAGGTGCACTCTACGTTGCGTGGCTTACAGTTAAACTCTCGCAAATCTGTGCGGTAAAAGTCCCTCAGAATTTGAGTTTGCACTTTGACTGCAGTCAGTCACCCGCGAATACTCTAACAGAGTTTTCAGCTTTCTGCTTTTAGTAAGCACTCCATAGTTCAAGGAAAAAAACTACATACTACACTACTTTGAAAAAAAATGCCTAGTGACTACTCGTACATATTTTCCACGCCAAGTTCCAACGGATTCGCTTCTTGCTGCCAGCGAAGCTGGGCTCGCTTCGCCAAACATCGATGCACTGCGATGCAATGCGCTTCAACTGGTCCCCACACCAGTTGCGCTATCAGAACTACACCGTACGTGGATACCCTGCCCCACAGTGATCCGCAAGAAACATCAGGCGGATTTGCTGGACGAACTGGCGACCGACTCCAAATTTGGAACGACGCGTGCCAAGCACGTCTTCTACAGAATTTTGTTATAATTCCTAACGCAGGAGTCCGATTTATCTGCGCATCCCCCAATACGAACTTTCCATTTCTCTAAATACGGTTCTCGTTACTATGTGGATTGAGTTCGAATTCCAGACGAAGTCACTGATCGTACTATTTTCGACTGGTTTGACTCGCATGGCGCACCTCCCACATGTATTCTACCGACATACATGCGCAACGGTCTGCCTTCTCGCGTACGCACAGTATATTTCGCGCAAGATCAGGCTCCTAAAATTTTGGTTCCATCACCAAACGAGCCTTTACGGGAATTTTTTCTCGCATCCTCGGATGATGGCATGGTTACCCTCCGTTCATGCTTTATTAACCACAAGGTGGCACGTCACAATCGTGTGACCCCCCATCCATCCGGCAACGCCTTGAACAAGAGGCAGCGAAAATAGCAGCCGAGCTATTGAAGACCATGTCTTCTGATGGTAAGCCTAGACTAGGACCATCTAAGGATTTGGCTACCAGCTCTCTTAAATCATCCTTACGCCAGTCAATCCGGGCATCCAAGTCTCTTAGCGGCGGGCGACCGGTCGACACCGACAACGCAATGTCAGTATCAGATAGCCCCCCCCCCGCATTTGATGATGGCGATGA